TAATGAAGACCCCATTGGAATTCTTGACCGAAGCTCAACCTGGATGGACAGCATCCAGGCCTACCTTGCAGACGGCATGCTCCTTGATTCACCCAGGAGGCGGCTGTTTTGAAGGAGAAAGCGGCAAACTTCGAGCTGAGACAAGGAGAACTCTTCAAGACTGGTTTTTTGAAACCTCTGTTGTAGTGTGTTACCCCAGAGAAGGGTAACGAAGTTCTCGAAGATTTGCATGCGGGTATCTGCGCCTCCCATATAGGCGGCAAGTCCTTAGCTGCCAAGGCCAGGCGGCTCTATTTCTGGCCGACTCTGGAGTCGGATGCAATGGAAATGGTAAAAAATTTGTGACAAGTGCCAAAAGTTTGGCAAGCTCATCCATCGTCCGGCCACAGACCTGACGACCATCCACAGCCCAATACCTTTTGCTAAATGGGGCATGGACATACTTGGGCCTTACACAGCCGCCCTAGGCGGCAAGCACTATATATTGGTAGCTGTGGATTACTTTACCAAGTGGGTAGAGGCGGAGGCGGTCAAAAACATCAAGACTAAATATATCAGTTCCTTCATATGGAGGAATATTATCACTCGTTTCGGGGTGCCTATGTCTATGGTTTTTGACAACGGTCCTCAGTTTGAGACGCCTCAGCTCAAGACTTGGTTGGGAGACTAGGGGATCTCAAGTTTCTTTGCATCAGTTGGTCGGCCCCAAGCAAACGGACAAGTCAAAGCCTTCAACAATTTAATCTCAAACGGGATCAAAAAGAAAATAGAGAGAGCTGGTGGCCTTTGGGCGGATGAATTACCAAATGTCCTCTGGGCCATCAGAACAACCGCCAAAAGGGCAACTAGAGAAACCCCATTCCTCATGGTGTATGGTGCAGAAGTTGTCCTGCCCATCGAACACTATGAGCCGACTCTTCGAATCATGTTGTATGACGAAGAGGCAAACTGGGAGGCCATGCGACTAGCATTGGACTCACTTCCAGAGCGCAGGGGTAATGCTGCCTTGCGCCATGAGATTTTTCGTCTGAGAATGACTCAAGCTTACAACAAAAGAGTACACAAGCGTCCTCTAAAAGTGGGGGACTTTGTGTTACGGAAAATGGAGGCAGTCGGTAGGGCGAATGAGCAGGGAAAGCTAATCCCAAATTGGGAAGGCCCCTACCGAATCTATGATGAACTAAGAAACGGCACCTACCAACTGGAAGAACCAGACGGTAGGCGGCTGCCTAGAACTAGGAATGTAGACAACTTAAAAAAGTAATACTTATAAGAATTTTTGTAAATGTTTCAAAGTTTTGATTAATGAGAATATGTCTTCATTTCCCAAACTTGTCTTTTTGCTAATTTTTTATAGCGTCTCCTGTACAATGTGCAGACGACCACTCTATTTGTAAAGCGTCTGCCCCAACAGCAGATGCCCTAATCCGTCTGAAGGAGCCGACTGCACCAAAGCAGTTGACCCTACTAACTTCTTCATTTTTAAGTTAAGTCCAACACTTAACGGTTATTTACCATTTTTAAAGAGGCCAATGGCCGGATATTAATAAAACGATAGAGGCCGACGGCCACAGTCTGCTCCAACATGAGTCAGATAACCGACGACTTCCATTCGGGCAAATTCGTCAAGGAGAAGCATCTCCCATTTGGGTGGCACATTGCTTTACTAAAACATCAAAAAGCCCTACCGAATGCTAAGGAAGCATCCGCAGTTGTTTGAATAAATTGAAAGTGAAATCTAAAAGTCCAAGAGTTTTTCAAGTTGTTTTAGTACAATTGGAAAGTGGTCACTATTTCATCACCAGAAGCTATCGAGGCATAAGGCCGGATGCGCCTGTTTTTTGCTCTGGGGCAAGACAGGCGGAAAATTCTTTTTCAATCAAAAAGCTAAGCCTAAAAACTTAGCATTCTACGTACACGAGGCTTATGGCCGAATGCGTCTGCTTCTGCTATAAGGCTGGACAGGCGGACCTTTTTCTTATTAAGAAAACGAGCTAAAATACTTAGCAGACTATTTATACAAAAGAGAGGCCTCAGGCCAGATGCGCCTGTGCTTTGTTCTAGGACAAACCAGGCGGAATATTTTTCCTTAACGAATAAGCTAAGTTAAAACTTAGCATCTTATTTTAACGAGGCCTATGGCCGGATGAAATCATAGGATCGACTACTCTGCATGGCCGTCTGTTGCTTTATTTGGGGAAATCACCATAGTGATTGATTGACCTAGAAACCATGCATACTCTTCTAAGTATCAATAATTTCTAAGTCAATCAATCCAATCAACCAAAATCAATCGACATCCGTCCAGGGGCAAGAACATTCGCATACTATACAGGCTAAAATACTTAGCTAAAATTCTACGCATAAAATTTGGAAGCTTTGAAAATTTTTAAAAGCATAAACACCAATATAAATAAAACCGACCAAATGACCGGATGCTTTATAAAAATTAACAGCCGTCAAAACTGACGACTGTAAAGTGTTAACTAGCTAAGCCAGGAGAATTGTTGAATTACCCGACCCCTTGGTCGGTAAAGATACATTTTTACTCGGCACACAGGCCGGAAGATCAAACACATGGCCATTCGGCCGCAGAAGAAAATTATCAAAAGCTTAAGTATCAGGGGAGAAGTTCTTAACGTTGGCACCCGTATCATCCATATTTTCACCCGCCGGCTGCTCAGCATTTTCACCATCCTCCTCGTCCCCCTGCTCGTCCCCAGAAGAGCCCGATGAGGATTCGGACTCTTCACCCTCAGCAGCAGCCTTGGTCGCCTCCTCTTGAGCTTGTCGAAGAAGGTCGGCATTGAAATCCTCGTTGGCTTGGTCAAACTTGGATTTCCAAGTCCTATAGTCAGCACCCGGCTGTACCGCCTCCCATACCGTTCGCATGATGGCCTCATAATCTTCCATCATTTGTTTGACAAGGGCCTCCTTCTCCTCATCAGCTCGGGACTCAAACTTGGCCTTCAGCTACTTCTCCTGGTTCGCTTGGCGCTTCCCTAGGCGACCAACCCGCTCCTTGACCCTCTCGGCTTCTTTCTTGGCCTCTTGCAGAGGCTCAAGCTTTTCCTTAAGACCTTTAATTTCGGCTTTAAGACCATTAATTTTGGAGCGAGCCGAATCCAGGTCCTTGTTTACTTGTAGGTTGACGTACGCTTGGGAATACATCATATCAAGGTTCAGTAGATTACTTTGAGCAATTTCAAATTGAGCTCGGTCTAAGGCGGACTCGGCTCGAGCTTTAGCGGATGTTACCTCTTTGGAATTTTCCTGGAGAGGCTTCCTTAGCCCCTTAATGCGCAGCATAGCCTGGATATGAGTAAAGCGCCGAATGGTTAAGACCAGTCGGATATATACTTGACAATAAGTAAATCAAGATAATTCTCTACCTCACAGAGATTCCCCAAGATGGCATCAAAATTAAGGGTGTCGACTCCTCTCACGGACGCCTTGTCCTCTAGATCAAGCGCCCTCAGCATCTCCTTGGCCATCTGGACAACGGTCGGCCTTTGCACAGGAGCTGCAAGATTAAAATTAGTCAAGAAAATTTTAAGAAACTATCTATATGATGGTATCCAATATAAAGGTGGTTGATACCATCCGCCTGAATCTCCTCCTCCTTCCCATGGTGCCTCTTCTCTCCTGCTGAGCCAACAGCAGTAGTGGGTTGCTTAAAGCCACCCTTCGATGCCTGATTGACATCTAGTTTGCTGACCTCCCTGTCAGCTTTGAGAGTAGAGTCGTCTCCTCTGTTAGGCTTGTGAGCAATGTGCTTCCGGTTCTTGCCGGATGCACTCACATCACCCGTCCCAGTCTTTTGGATTTTGGATTGGGATTGCTTAGAGGGAGAAGGTCTAGTGGAGCCACTCTGCATTAGCAAAAGGAAAAGGCGTCAGAAAACATGCGGGCAAAAACTGACCTTGCTCAAAAATATCAAGTATTATAAAAAACTACCTTGGGGGTCCTGACTGTTTTCTGCTCGTCACCCGCTCGATTAAGGACGTTCGAGCGATATTTCGCCGCAGAGACGGCAGCCGGCTTCCTTGTTGCTGAGATCTTTCCATGGCTTTGTCTGCACCAAACGTAGGAGTTAGAATTTGTAAACGAGCATTGAAAAGCAATTTAAAGTTGCATAAAATCATACGGCCGACTACCTCTCGGCATATCAAAACTTAGCCCACAAGCGGCCAAGAACACCCCATCCTCTAACCATTTGTATAGGGGAATGTAGCTCTAAGGGACGACTATTTACTCCCCTTGTTCATTTGTCCGGACGGACACTTTGAACAAACCCCTGTCAAAGATTTCCTCCTGGGACCGCCTAGGGAAAGGCGGCAAGGAACTTTTGCCAGCCAGGAGGGGCGGATCCTTGTTACACCTATTGTATTTCTGATCCAGCCGGCTATCAGAGGAATGGACGATGTTGAGCTTGGCTCTCCAATCCTTCCATTTATTTTCCTTACCGACTGCCATCATGTACCCCTTGCAGGTGTACCAGCCTTCGCCGCCCTTAGCCGGCGCTCGGCTGAGATAGTGCATGTGGGAGAATGCCTCAAAGCTAGGCTCCACCTCCAGCATTTCACATGCGAAAACATACCCGATAATATTAATCTAGGAATTCGAGACTAGTTGCTAGATACCCAGTTGGTATCCGTCCAATATTCTCTCCACGGCCAGATAGAGAGGGAGGCGCAGGCCAGCTTGGAGGACCGCCTCGTAGCAGCCGAATGCTTGGTCCTTATAGCTGCCCAAGATCGGCCAGGTTATTGTATCATCCTTGTTCGGCACAGATAAGGAAAAGCCATGACCCATTACGATCATACGCTTAAAATTGGCAAGGCCGGATGTCATAGAAGTCCTCTTTCTTTGCAGAACATGGTGATAGTAGGGAGCACGTTCCAGGCGCCTAGAAGCACTCGGCTCGGCCCATCCTTCTCCCCTCTTCACTGACAAGGACTCCCTTGTAGTGCCTATCTTTGCTCTGACCTCCTGAAGTAATGGAGGCATTTTCAGAGGATGACGAGGCCGAATCATCATCGGAGCTCTCACCAGAGCTGGGGGACTACCGACCGGGGCCAGCAGGGTCCTCCCCCAGACTCTCTTTCGACGCCTGTTCTGAAGGCTCAGGTTTGTATTCATTGTCGGCTTCCCACAGTATGGTATCGTTGGGGGTGCCGCTCGAAGAAGGGGGAGAATAATAAGTTGGAGTTGGGGGAAGGTCAGATGAAGGGTTTGGGGGGTTCTCAGAGATTTCACTGGCAGGCACCCTAATGGAGCCATCAGAATTGACAGTCTCACTATCCGAATGGTAAAAGGAATCATCCGCCCTAAATCTCCTTTTTGTTTGCTTTGTTCTGGTCATCGTGTTCTGCAGAGGCACAGACACTATCGAATTTGGAGATGTACTTAAAGCAAAGTTCTCGAACGAGCATTCGGCACTCCTAGTTCTAGATTCAACCATCCCCGGTCACCGCCTGATCGCTAACCTAGGCCGTGCTGGGTGCGTTTGGGAAACCATTTTGATAAATAAAAATGCAAAAAAAATAAGTAAAAGAAGAGATAAGGCGGTTACCTTAGAAGAAGGTACTAGGAGACGCTTGGTTTGCTGGAACTGACGGACAAAAAGCCGAGCGTCGGATACTTGATAAGTTTAAGTCTTTGAGAGTCTTTGAAAGTTAGAAGTCCAGAGATTCTCCAAGATTTGCAAAGGTGTGAATTCAAAGGTGGGGGGTCAAACCTTTCTTTTTATAGAGGGGGTAAAACCCTAATTTTTCCCTCCAACAGTAAATTTAAAAATCCGACCAATCGAATCGAATCTGTCACCGGCGACACGTGCCAAGCATGTGTCCCCTGTGAGGGGCAAATGATTTGGGTATTTTTACCCAAACAGCTGGCCCAACCCGAGCCAGCCATGTGTCAATGGATGGGGTGCCACTTTGGTCCCTCCAGGTGATTACACGTGGAGGGCAGATCTGGCCCCCTGGAAATGGCGGCTTTCAAGGCCAGAATCCCAAGGGGCCCCTGCAAAAACGGGGTGCCCTTTTTTAGGGCACAAAACCCTAAAAAGGGGCACACTTACCTAGAGCCCTATAAATAGGGAACATTCCCCTCATTTATGGAGATCAGAATTGAGAGACAACTTTTATGACCTAACCTTGATTAAATACCAATCATTGTCTGAACTGTCACTCTCAAGATACAATACGCCTGAGCTTGGAATCCAAGCAGATAACTTTATTTCCGCACGTTTTACTCCGAATATATTACTAAATTAATCTTCGGAGGCGGACCACTGACCATCTGGCGGTCCATTTTCTTTGCAGGTACAGGCGCCCCTTGTTGGATCCAGTCTTAGTGTTGTAACTTTTCCGAGGGACAAAAAACCCCAAAACAGGCATATTCATATAATTTTTTTTAGTTAATTAGAACGATTGACAAAGATAAGACTTGACCTAGACATAGATCACGGTGTATAAAATGTTTTCCATTTTGGGTATACCTAATTTATATTTGGGCGTACCTAAAACGAACTGGTTCAATTTTTTATTTTTTAATACAGAAGTTTAAGGTTATTTCAAAAAAATAATTACATCCGTTTTTAGTACTATTGAGTAGGTTTATTGCCACTCTATCTAACCAAGATCTTATTAGCTTGTCACAACTCTTATAAAAATTGAAAGACCAATTTTAGATGCTGAATATAGTTGTTCAGCCAAAACATTACCTATTACATAATGATCCTTGTTTAAAATATATATCATGATATATATAATATTTCCCAATTTGGATATACCTAAGTTTTATTTGGGTAATACCTAAAACAAAGTGGTTCAATACGTTTGTTACAAAATACAGAAGTGTAAAGTTATTTAGCATATTCACATCTATTTTAGCACTCTTGATTAGATTTGTTGCAATTCTATCTAATCATGGTCTCATTAGCTTAATGACTAAATCACGATTCTTATTAAAATAAAAAGACCAATTTTAAATACTGAAAATAGTTGCTTGGCCAAAACATTGTTACCTATTACATAACGATCCTTGTTTGGATTGAGATCCTTTACTCTTAAATTAATTTAGGGATATGCAAAAATATATATTTGAATGTACGTTGTGCGTAATAAAGAACAAAATTAGGAGGTCCCGAATGACGACTAGTTAGTCCTAAAATATATTGCTAAAGATTAGTTTGCTTTTAATCGAAGGATAGTCATCAAAATTCAAACACACAAGAACCCTAACAATTTCGATTATTAGTCCAATTATTCGCAATGGATTACTCTTGCATAGAAAAAAAACTCACGAGAACCCTACAATATAATTAAATTAATTTTCTTTTAGATACCCCCAAATCCCCAATTCAAATTTTGGGATTCAATTTTTGTCATACCTAAAATTTGAAATTTTTTAATTAGTCAACCAGGACAATTGACAAATATAAAAGTTTATTAACATATAGATTACGGTGTATAAACTATTTCCTATTTTGGGTATACCTAAGTTAATTTTGGAGGTACCTAAAACGAAGTGGTTCAATTTTTTTTTTCTTTACAGATTATAGAAATTTATGGTTATTTCGTGTAATCACATCCATTTTTAGTACTCTTGTCCAGATTTACTGTCACTCTATCCAACCAAGATCTTATAAACATAATCATGGTTCTTATTATTAAAGTACAAATCCTAAATTTAAATATTGAAAATAGTTGCTCGCCCAATAGGCCAATACATTACCTTACACAATGATCCTTGTATGGATTGAGACTTTAAATTGGAATATTATTAATTTTAAATCATTTTTATTAAAAAAAAAACCAAATTATCATCATTATAAAACTTTTAGGGTTATTTCAAAAAAATAATAATTAAAAAACTTAAAGGGATAATTTGGATAATTCAAAAGTATATATATATATATATATATATATATATATACACTAAAATAACTACCGTTGATGTCATCATTGCCTACGTGTCACTTTTTATTTAATTTTTTCCCTCCAAAATGCAAGGATGATGACATTTTTTTTTCCTTTTTTAAGCTACCCTACTATGCTTTTTTCCCATTTTTAAGCTACCCTTCAATTAAATTTTTTTTTTCCTTTTTAAGCTACCCTCCAAAATATATTCCATTTGGATTTTTAAATTTTAAATTTTGGGTTTTTAACACATATTATGCTATTGAGTTATTTACGAGTTGTTAACAATAGTTAATAATATAATTTAATTGAAATTTCTTAATTAAATATGAAAATTATGCACTTTCAGGAACTGTATATTCATATTTAAGGAAAATTTGTCAAAAATAACACCACCTTTAAGAGGTCTTCCCTAAATAACACCACCTTTTGATTATTTCACAATAACACCACCTTTGACACACATCTGCCAAAAATGAAACAAAAAACCGGTCACCTATTTTATATGTTACCCTGGGACACATGTCCTAGTATGATTTGTCAGTTTTATTTTTAATTTTTTATTTTTAAAAAAATAAAAAAAAACTAAAAACTTAAAAAAATAAGAAAATAAAACCCTCTTCCCACCCCCTTGCACCGGCCTCCACCACCCCCCACCAAGACCACCCACCTGAAACCACCCTCTCCCCGGCCCCCTTCCCAATTTCTGGCACCCCTCCCCTTCCTGACCCCTTTTCCGACACCCCTTTCCTTCCGGACCCCATTTTCGACACCCTTCCTTTCCGACCCCATTTTCGGCACCTCCTCCACTTTCCTGCAACCTCCTCCCCTTCCCGACACTTTTGCAGCACCCCCCCCCCCTCTTTCTCGAACATCAAGAAACAAATCCGGGGACTTAAAGTTTGGGGTTAAAGTTTGATGGTGGGTGGTGATTCGGGAAACAAAAACCACCACAAAAATTTGGGGTTAAAGTTTCGGGTGGTGATTCAAGGGCGGAAGGGGGTGGAGACGGTTGTTGGAAGGGCAAAATTGGTTTGCCGGAAATAGTGGAGGTGGTTTGGCGCCGGCCGGTGGGGAGAGGAGCGTTTTCGAGGGGAGGGAGGAGGGTTTTTGAGGTGAATGAGGAGGGTTTTAGGGCGGGGGGAAGGTGGTTCAGTGGAACGAGCTGGTGGTCGGGGTCTGGGTTAGAAGAGGTGTCGCTGACGCCGGGGTAGGATTTTGGGGCTCTGGCCGCCGACGGCTATGGGGAGGCCCAACGATGGGGTGGCTGCCAAGGAGGGAGGTTTTTTTTTATATTATTTTTAAAAAAAAATTGTAAGTATTGTTTTTTTTTTTAGTTTTTTTTTTAAAAAAATATCTTAAAAAAATTGACTAATGATATTGTGACATGTATCACTAGTAACCTTTTTAATAGGTTACCAACAGGTTACGTTTCATTTTTGGCAGATGTGTGTCAAAGGTGATGTTATTGTGGAATAATCAATAGGTGGTGTTATTTAGGGAAGACCGCTTAAAGGTGGTGTTATTTTTGACAAATTTTCCCATATTTAATTATAAATTATTTAGTTAGGAAAATGAAAAAGTTATTTTCTTTTAGTACGTGTAAAAATTCTATAATTCAATTCTTATTTTAAAATCGTGCATCGCACGGAATTAATCTAGTGGTTGGGAATAATTAAAAAGAGGGAGAGAGAAAGTGTTAGAAATTGATGTAAAAAATCATTATTAGTACAACAAATTGATGATAACTCATCAAAAAGTAGAGAATATTCTCAAATTTTACAACCTTAAAATCAAAATAGGTCCTTAACTAGTATATACTAAAATAACAACCGCTAATGTCATCATTGCTTACATGTCACTTTTTTATTTATTTTTTTCCCTCTAAAATCCAAGGATGATGTCATATTTTTCCCTTTTTAAGCTATCTTATTTTACGTAGCTTTGAAATATATTTGAATTTTTAAACTTTAAATTTTGGGTTTTCTACACATATTGTGCTATTTAGCTATTTACGAGTTGTTAACAATTTTTTATTAATTTAATTGAAATTTCTTAATTAAAAATGAAAATTATGCACTTTCGAGAATTGCATACATATTTAATTAGAAATTAGGGCCTATTCACATTTACTTAGGGCATGTTCACATTTACTGAAATGAGCTTAACTAAACTGAATTGAACTGATTGAAGCTGAACTGAGCT